AGAAAATGACAGAATTCAGCATGACTATATAATGCATGACTATTATTCAAGAATGTTTCATTATTAATGATGATAAAGAAAGAAAGAGATGGGCAATTTTTAAAGCTAGAACATACAGAATATCCTAATTGTAAATTTTAGCATAATATAGAAAAAACCTACTTATAGTTGTATTAAATGCTCAAGCAAGTTTGATTATAAAATTATTTCTAAAAAGAGTCAAGTGTAATAACTTGCACCGTTCACTCATTAAAGTAAAATAATGAATATGGCATATATGTTAATAAAATGTTAACATTTAATAGTTAATATTTCATTATGTAGTAAATCTTCACTCTATTCACAATTCTTTTATGCAGGTCACACAAATTGATAGGCCTAATTAATTTGTATGTTCGGTGTTATACCTGACTAAAATCAAAATGTTTATTTCTGTGAATCCTATAAATATGGGGTTATTCAACTTTCTGAAAAATCAGTGTAGGTTCATGGAGCAAATAAGTAAATAATTAAAACTCTTCATAATATTATCCCGAAAGTCATAGAAATTAATTATACTGGGATTTCATCATATCTTACACATATAATGTTAAGACTATATTTAGGTGTTCTAGTTACAATTTATCAATGACTTTAAACAAATCACTAAAAGCCTGATTCACTAAATATTCACTTTGGATTGTGCAATGAGATTTTCACTTATTTCACTCTGAATTAAAGCTGCACACTGTGTGCCTGATTCTCCATTAAAAAATAAAATAAAATTCCACTGAGTAGTGGTATGTAAGCAGATGCAAGCAAACATAAATAAATAAATATGACCATGGAAACACTCTCTTTTACCCAGGTAGGTGCACAGTTTCAGAGCTGTCATTTAAGCAAGATTCACAAATTTAACATAAGCCATCAGCATACTGTTGATCAGTGATTTAGGAGCGGACAGTGTGGGATGCATGTGGCTTATAGAGACAGTCTACGCATTTTGTTGTAATTTCTTGCATAAGTTTTTCTGTGATCTGTTCCATATCTAGGCATATCCAATCAAAAATAAGCAACGTGATTTCTTCTTTACAGTCCACACAATGGTGTGCACTTGATTCATTCTAAGAAATTACAACTGATGCCAATTTAATCATGCAGTTGATGAAGCATCCTTTAGATAATGCTGCTGACAATCTGCAGCATCTGGAGTATCACAGTTGAATTGACTATAGATTGGCTAATTGGACGTCCAAGTAAAACTCAAGATGAAATATGAAATGAAAGCAGCTAAATGCAGGACACATCTTGCTAAGCATCACTTAGCAGCACAACACTTGCATGCAACTGATCAGCCTACCATATATATTCATGAGGAGTGACAAGTTTTGCACCATTAGTGAAGATGCACCATTTGGAACATCTGAGGGGAAGCAGAGGGAAAGCTCTTTCTAAACAGTGCTTTCACTCCCACCCTCACTTTCCCCACAAATTATAAGCAGAGCTGAAGTGAGAGGGGAACAAAATAAATGGGAAAAGGCAAAAATGTATCTTCACAGCAACGGGTTAAAAAAAAAGACAGCAAGAAACTAACAGCAAGGTATTTTGCTTGTAGTCAGGATCACAGCTCATTATCTTATTTCTTAAGTTGGGTAAAATATGTCTCTCTACATTTATTTAATGAAGAAAAAATCAAGACTAATTGAGACTTTTTCAAGGTGTTAAAAAATTAATGTCAAGGAGCCTCTCTCATGTAAATGCTGGTTAAGCTGGTGGCACAGAGCAATTGTAACACAAAATAACTGAGGTGACCAATATTAAAAGCATGGGGTTTCACCCATTAGGACAACACACCCTACAACCAATCACATAAGTCCAACAAAACTGCTGTTACTTGTTCTAGTTACTATATTAGACAGCAAACTAGATGTTCCTTAGCCATATAAGGGTGAATTATGTAAGATGGAAGGGAATGAAAGATCCTGATTCATTTTGGACAGGAAAAAAGGAAAGACCATTTTCTTCCCCAGAGGGGAAGTTGCCTTGATTATTGACATCTAAAATTACTTTTGGGTTTTTTGCCCATTTCTGACATGCAACAGAAAGAAAGGTGTCTGTGATATTTAAAAAGGGGTAGGTTATTCAAATGAGGGTTTACTCTCTTTTTTTCAGATTCTCTCCTTGTCCGGAAGAAGAGGGAAGCTCTGGTAAAATAAATTAAACTGATATTTATCGTAGTTCCTGTGGAAGGGCTAACCTAAACTTTGTGACTGCAATGAATAGCAAGAACAAGTCCATGTAGTTTTAGGTCTAATTTATTTTTTCTACTTTTTTCTTTAGATTGACTTTTAAAAAAAGAACACCTCCAACAAGAGCTCTGAGTGCCTGACAATAATTACGTTTATAAAAACTGCCCTGCAGCATTAACACTGGTATATAATTAAATTAACTGTCAGCCAGCAGCATTTAACAGTTAAATAGTGGTAACAGATTTTCCTCAGCCAAAGGACAATAAAAATGGGAAAACTCCAGAAAAACCTCTTGTTCCCTCATCTATTGCTAACAAGCTATAAAGTAAAATGCTTCTTCAGCCTGGCTGAAAAGTCACTAACTTCAGGGTCAATTGGTAAAGTAGGAACAGAAGTCAGATGTCTTAATCAAGAACATGTTGCTAGCAGCTCCCTCCCTTTCATAATGAGAATAATCTTTTATATCATCCAGGGTAACCACTTCTGCTAATTGCAGTGGTGGTCAGAGGTCACAAGAAGAGAAATGAACTCTTATGTGGGAAGGTCCTGTGTCATTTAGCACCTTACTAATCATGACCATCAACTTAAACTCTGTTCACAGACCAAAAGAAAGCTGGCAGAGAGACTACAGCACTGATGTCATGTGCTCAGAATAGGATGTCCCATTCAATAGGTCAGATACTGCATTCAACACCAGATTCAACCTTCAAACAGGGAGCTAAAGGACTAGGTACAGATTTCCTATGTTTAAAAATGTAAGGGTAAGGATGCATACTCCTTTGCAGCTGGCCAGAGAAGGGAACTTTCTAATAGTTTAAAAGGACTGTAACCTGACAAAACATTGAAGAGGCAAAAATTCAACTGCTGCTTTCTGTAAAGACAACCCAGAAATACCCAGCCATTTCAACATTTGCAGGGATGAGAGCCCTCAGGTGTTAGCTGGTGGACAATTCTTGGAAGTGTAGAATTTAAAAGGACATTCATTTTTCTTTGAAATAATTCAAGAAAAACAAGTTAAAAACTTCACGAAAGTAATCCGTCTAGGAGCTAACATGATTCCTTTTTAACACCCGAAATAAACATGCACACCTGTGTGTATGTGTGTGAGGGAGAAGAAAGGGAAGAACAGTCAATAAACCAAGGCCTTTTGTGTTGTATTAGGCAGGTACAGTATGTTTCAAACAGTGAAGTTCATCCCCTGCTAAAATGAAATTTGGATGAAGAGTCATACAGGGTGGAGGGGCAGCTGTAGCTTTCTAGCAACTGAAGTTGTTCTCTTCTGAAACCAAGTGCAAAAAGGATGCTTAAGTAGGTACAGAAAATTGATTATAATAAGACTAATCACAATAATGAGGTTAAATGTGCATAAATGTTTTCAGGATTGGGGATTATATGGAAGAGAAACTGAAAAGTATTTGTATTTTCCACCATTAATAAGACTAGTGAAAATGCATATTTTATGACTTCATAATGCTTTCTTTGTTTATTTTGCTTTTAAGTAAGGTGTAGTATTGTTTTCTGAAAAAGAAAAAAAAAGTCCCACCTTTAGATATGATGTTAACTGGAAGCAGGAGAAACTTGCTTAAATCTTTTCATGTGAAAATTAAAAAACAGCAATTAAAAAAGTATTTGGATAACGCACCAGCTCCCTAAAAGACCCTGACTAAAAGAGGAAGAAATGTATAGGCCATAGATAAGTATTTAACAGTCCAAATGCTGGGATATTTCCTTGGCTATGATAACTGATTTTTTGAAGTAATTTTAGTCAAACTCACTTAATGGACGTATAACTTAGAACTGGGCCATACTCCCCCACTTTAATATTCTTTAGGAATAGAAGAAAATAATATTGTGTTAAATACTTTTTCTTCCAGGAACTAGATTTTAAGAAATACTGTGTAGTTCATTTTACCTTGTAATAAACATACATCTAAGATATACTGCTGTCATTTTATTTTTCTTTTAGTTCAAAATTACATCTCTACTAAACTATTTTTAAGATCCATAGATTTGCAATATGTAGAAAAGATCGTTGATGGTAGAGAATCAAACTACTACATCTAAAAGACCACGTCATTTTCCTGTTACTCAGAAAAACCAGCAAATCCAACAATCAGATGTCTAAAAGTAAAAACAATTGCTTGTAATAAAACAGTGAGTGTATTTTAGTTTAATTGCATTGAATATAACAGCATAAAATTTATAAAACAAACACAACAAAAGTTACACACCACAGCAAGTAATCAACAGAAGCAATCCGCAAAGGCAACACATAGAAAGCACAAGAACATATAAGGTTGGAGCTGATTTTTGCACCTGGATGTTGCCATAATGGAAAGATCAGCAGATCAGAAGCATAGCAAATAATGGCATGATGCATGCAATGAGAAGACTGGAAGAAGCAAGCCACGGCAGACAGACTTGTATGGTAGTTAATGTATGAAAAAGCTTACTTCATTTAGAAAGCTCACTAATTGGTCTACCGTTAAATAATCAGTTTTGTCTCCATTGCTGAAAAGAAATTTATTAGAAAATGTAAGTTTTCATATATGATGCTACAGTAGGTATGATTTACATGTTGACATTGTTGATACTTTCAAAAACCTAATTTTCTAACACTGAAGCAGCTGTGTATTCTCAAAATGAAGAGAGACTGCCAAGGAAAACATACTAACTGTCCGTGCTTGTTGTAATATAATACTTTCTGTCCTTGCTATTATTTAACCAATGTTAATTCATAAAACATGTAAGTCCTCCACTTGAGAAGAATCTGAATGATTAAACTCTTAGATAATCAGACTTCTGACTTAATCTAGTTAGTTAACATACTGTGTTAATAACCTAAAGGAGCAAGTTAAAATTGTTGATAGTTAGTAAAGCCAATGCGAAAAAAAAAGTTCCAGGTGCTTTCTTTAATTTATGTAAACGTTGCTCTAAAATGCCGAGTGAACTTTTTCATTGGTAGCTTGAAGGGAAGAGAAGGGGGAAGAAAACAGTTTTGGCTTTGTCTCCTAGTTCTGTTCGTGGTATTACAAGTAAAAAAATGGGTAGTCTTTGTAGCGTAGTATTAGAAACAAAAATTATAATAAAACAATTTTAAAAGAGCTTAATACTAAATTTAACTTACATTTTCCTAAAGAGTTCCTCTATGTCAGTACGAGGACATATCTTTTGCGTCAATTCATAAAATTTCTCATAAGTAAATGCTGCAGGCTCAATTTCATCATTCTGCAAAGAAGGGTAAAAATTGATGAGTCCTCAAACCCCTGCTTCTTTATTCTTACTCTATCAGCATGTCTTAGTATTAGGAAAAAAAATGTGTTGACGCAATATCTTACAGCTTTACCTAGTGTACGCGTTTCTATTAAATATTCTAAAAACAGCTCTCAATCTGTTCTTGCTACAGGTACATTTAATGTGCCACTATTCTGGCTGTAGCACAACATTAATTCTATATAAAAAGCAGACATAAAAAAGGCAAGCCTTCATTTTACCTTCTGAAGACAGGAAAAAAACAATTCAAGGTACAATGCAAATTTAGAATATTTATATTCCACTCACTGAGACATTAAAATAAAAGCCCCAACAAAGCAAAGGTTAAAATAAAATAAAAGCCCCAAGCAAAGGTTATGATAACACTGAAAGCCAACTTGGATTCAGGCCAAATTTAGGCACAGAAGTTACAAAGAGCAATTCAAAATGCCCCACTGCCAGGAACCAAAATCATAGGTGCCTCCATTTTTCTCTTGTCACCTACACTAGCACTTCTAGCATGTTCAGAAGCTAGGTAGATGCCATGCTCAGGAACTCCATGGCAACTACGTCCTGCCTCAGCTGCACTGTAATTTAGAGTTGTTGGGAGGCATCTAAACTTCACCTAAATATAGGAAAAATAGATGTTGGAAGGCCATAACCACTAAGTTACAATAGCAGACCCCTCCTTTCTCTCTCTCTCTTCACTCATGATTATGCACTAGCCCAGCTTCAACAGGAGGATTAATGCATGCCTTTAGGATACAGGCTGATGTTTAGGGCTAGGAAGTGGGAGATATAGGTTTAGTCCTTCCAGATTTGTAAAAATCAGGAAAGCCAAGGCACCATAAAGAGACTATAAAGAAACATAAAAGTCAACCATAAGGCATTCTATAAGCATGGCAGAAGTGCGGTGAAGAGCATAGAAAGTGTGGATTATTTGTTGAATGGGGAAAGGAATCTAATAATGGTTGATGTGACCCGAGTTCTCACAAAAAGATCAACTATCAGATGACAAACATGGTTAACAGCACAGGACAGTAGAGCAGATAATTAACCTAAGGTAGGGGAAAAACAGGTTAGAAGTTAGACAACCTGGATGTTTTCAAATCAGCAAGGACAAATGAAATTAATCATAGAACATTAAAGAAATTGGCTGAGGTAACTGTAAAACCACTGTCTATTATATTTGTGAACTCATGGAGATGAGGAAAAGAGCCAGAAGACTTGGAAAGAACAAATATAATGCCGGTCATTAGAGAAACGGAAAAAGGAGGGCCCAGGAAATTACAGACCATTCAGTCTAACTGTGATATTTGCAAAGATATTGGAGCATATCATCAAAGAAAGGATCTATTTCTAAACATCTAGAAAATAGTAAGGTGAGGAGGTGTAACAACCATAAACTGATCAAGAGAAAGCCAGGCTAAATCAACCTGATTTCCTTCTGTGACAAGATGACAGGTTTTGTAGATGAGGAGAACCACTGGATCTGATATACCCCAACTTTAGCTAGGTTTCTGACACTGGCCATGTACAGACCTTAAATTTCTCTTGGGATAATCCCTGTTCTACCAGTAGAAACCACGACTGTAGAGATGGTCAGGATTTTTCTCATAAGGCAAAAATCGCCACTCTGAAAGGAAAATAACCTGGGAACAACCAGGATTATAGTACTTCTAGGAGAGTTTCCCCTGGAAGAATGAATATCTGTACATGTTCTCTTCTTATAGAGCCACAGCACAGACCTCCAGCAGCCCAGGTGTTTTACTTCCCTCCACTGGTCCCATGGGGACAGTGTGTCACTTTCTGGATTCTGCTGCTCCAACTCAGCAGGGAACAGACCAGGGCCCTTTCACAATTCCCCCACTGAGCTACAGGAAGACACAGAGCAGGTAGGGGCTGCTCTGTGCACTGTTGCCAGGCATGTTGGGAAGCTTGCAGATCATAATGAGATGTGTACACAGGGGCCCTCTGAATACACAGCATCAGCACTGCAAGCTCTCTGCTCTTCAGAGCTAGGGAGAGACATTCAAAAAGCCCAAGCCTGAACTGATTCAATCTTTGCAGGTTAGTCTAACATGCAGAGACTGAACCAATTTGCAAGTAGATAGACATCACTTTTAGTTCAGGAAATGGCAGCACATGCCTGCAGTGGATCAGGCTAGAAACCAGAGGGAGCCAGAAGCCAGCAGGGAGCTTATCAGAACACAAAGCTTATCAGCCCATCTAGAGAACAAATCCTCTCTCTCATTAGTTCAAGCTCTTCTTAAACAGCTTGTTGCAAAGGATTTTTAAGGAAGAAGGGAGGGACATTGCCAGGTGACCTGTTGATTAGGTCCAAAAAGCCCTGTCTGCCTTTGTCCTAGTGAAATTGGAGACACACACATAGACATCGCTCAGCATTAGCTAGCAGGGGGGTGGTGTGACCGTGAGCAGATGCCTCCTGGGGTCCGTGCTGTGGGGGAGAGGGAAACCCTCCTTGAGCAGTAAGCCACGACAGGCAGATGCTGCTGTCTCCTGGCTGCAGTTTCCACCTAGAGAGGAGAAGGATGGGGCTAGGTCTGGTCTCTGAAGCAGACAGCCAGCCCAGCCCAGCCCAGGGCTGAAAAGCATGCTGGGATGCTGGGGAACTCTGATTTAACTTAAAAAGGAGTCTGGGACAGAAGTTCCATAAACCAGTTTGACATAAATCAGTTAAGTCTGATACTACACTCAATCAGGTTTATATTAAACCAAGGTTTGGCCATTTCAAAACTGGTTTATGTGCATGGAATGTATCTTCTTTTACAGGTTTAAACCAGCTTCTGATCACTTAAACTGGTTTATGTGCAACTTTTGTCCCTAGCCCAGGGATTCAGCATTTGAGTGTCTGTTCAGGAGTCTCTGTGTAAGTTTTCTACCAGAAGAACAAACCAGGAGAATCTGAACATGTGCACACAGCCAATACAACCTTCTCATCAGTAACCTAAGGAAAATATAGGTTAGATGAAACTACTGTGAGGTAGGTGCATACCTGTTTGAATAATTGTGCTCAAAAGACAACTGTATCTAACAGGCAACTGTTGTTGAAAGGGTTGATCACAGACCTGTCTTGGATCATGTGCTGTTCAGTATCTTCATTAATGAAATAGAGGATGGGGTTGAATGCACACTTAGTAAATGTGCAGATAACACCAAGTTGGGAAGAGTAGCAGCTAAAAGCTAACAGCATACTGAGATGTATTAACAGAAGTTCTGCAAGTAAATCAAGGGAAATTATTCTTCCATTCTGTTCAGCACTAGCAAGGCCTCACCTGGATTACTATCTACCAATGTTCAATAGAGTACAACCCATCATGAAAAACATGGACAAACTGGAAAAAGTCGAGAGGATAGCAACACAAAGGATTAAACATCTAGAAATATGCCAGGGGTGTATGGCATGGCCCTCTTCCTTGGCTCTCTCAAGTACATTTAGCAACTGTGCAGCTGCAGGGCTTTTCACAGTACCCTAATTTCCCTGTATTACCAGTGGCAAGTTACGATGTTCTTGGTTTCCTTGAGCTATGTGCCTTGCTTGTGCAGTTTTAGGAACAGGTTCAATAAAGACTTGTATGGGATAGTTTAGGTAGAGATCTATTTGCCCAGAGAAAGGGGCTGGACTTGATGACCTTTGGAGGTCTCTTCCAGCCCTACTCATCTATGATTCTAAAATTATATGAAGCCATGATATAGGAGGAGAAGTTGGAAGATCTGAGGTTATTTAGAGGGGAGAAGAGAAGGCTGTGGTAGGATTTGATAAGTTTTCAAATACAAAAAAAAAGGTGTTATGAAGAGTATAACGATCAACTGTTTTCTGGGTCCACACTGGACAGTACAAGAAGTAATGGTCTTAAATTGCAGTAAAGGAGATTTAGGTTGCATATTAGGAAGAACTGCCTAATTGTGAGGGAGGGTGGTTAAATCCTGGAATAGATTACCTAGGAAAGGTTTTATAAAGTCTGGCATTCAACATTTGTGAGAAGAGGTTTGAGAAACATTTGTCTGTGATAGTTTAGACAGGGATCTTCCTCCCTTAAACACAGGGTTGGATTAGATAATTTCCTGGAGTCTTTTCCAGCCTTATTTTTCTATGATTTCTTCTAGACATCTCGGGGTTTTTAATCACACTTTGGAGGCATCTACTGTTCACCATTCTATGTAGAGAGCACATGAGTGACTACGGAATCTCATTAAGCTAACTCTGAAGTCTCTTCATTGACCATACAGGGATCTTAGGCACCTAATGGATTTATCCTGAACTGCCCTTCTGATACAGGCCTGCAAAGCTTAGATGAGATGATACCTAAGTCAGGTGTTGTCTGAGATGCTTTGAATCCTGGCCTGAGTATAGGCCTTATTACATTTTTATGCTTAGTAAATATCCCTCAACTCTGATGATGAATAAGTTGTCTGAGCACCACAAGCATGCTTTTCTAACAATCCAAACCACTTACCTTATACCTATAAATATGAACAATTCAGCAATTCCTTCATATAAAAATATTCAAAACTGGTAAATACCTTTCCACTGGGAAGACCTAATTCCTTAAGTGCCTGAAAGATCACCTTTTCCGTTTTACCTGATGCAAAGGTTCTGGTAATGCTAAAAAAAAGAAAAAGAAAAAGGGTGAAAGGAACAGTTAGTTGCTTTCTAAATAATCAGTTCCAGCTCCCTACTACTCTTCTTCACCAACATTTTCTCTGGTTTCAACTGATTGATGCAAGCACTTCCAGTGACAGTTGTACAATAGCACAGCTGTAACACTGCTTTCAGTTCCACAGAGCAGAAATACCCTGCTTGCTCTCTGTGTAAGCTACCTATTACCAGATTTATCAAAATAATGAACTGCCCAAAGAGCTCAGGGTTTTGTTCAATATACTGACATACAGAGCTGTGCTGCACATTATTCTGTTGGCAGTTTTCAGCTCAACGCAGACAAATTACTGTGTCTAAAGCACAGCATGATCTACAAACACGGCAGGTATTACAGGACTCAGCTCAAGATTTCTCCACATTCATACTGGTGATTCCTTCCCTTTTAGATTTAGTTTGTTCTCTTGAAAGCCCATAGAGTAACCACAATTAATTCCCATTCCGTTCTTTTCCTCCTTTCTGTTCAAGCGATCCCCCTCAACCCAGACCATCATTCCAGTAAGCAGGCTTGCTACTCGATCTTCTCTCTACCTCCTTTCCTCAGACGGCTCCCTGACTTACTGGTAGTTATACTTTACTTCCATTAAAACTCTTTCTCTTCCAGATATAACATACAAAACTAATTCTACATCTTTTACATTTCCATCGAGACTTCTATAATCTAGTTCCTTCAGTAAAAGCTGGCATTATTTCACTATCCTTGAAACGGACAGCTTCATTCTTACTTGAAATAAAATAATCCAAGAAACTTGTGCTATCCAGTATCTTTAATGCAAGGTCTGTTGTTATAAATGTTTCCGATGACCAAAAATAACCCCAGACTTTGGGGGGGAAACCACCACAGCCAGTCTTCCTGTCTCTCCAAACAACTGAAACAAAAATAGGGTCTAACAACTTGCCAACTCTGGACTTCAATATAAATACAGAAGCTTGTGCCCATATCTGTTTCTAATCCTAACACAAGCTTTACATAACCATAATCTGCTGAAAATACACAACGCTCTATCAGAAAGTGAATCTGCAGAGGCTTGTCGTAAGTATTGTGAATACTAAATAAATTCAAAAAGTGAAAGATGTGAAATAAATTTGCTGTTATTTGTTTCCATACCAATCCAAAGTTGTTTTATTCTCTAAAACACTTTAAACGATTTATGTAAATATTTTCCTACAACTAAAATAATGAGAAGGAAGCCAAAGATCTAAACGAGAAAATTATATTTTCCCAGTTTTCAGCCAAGATGTTTTAAAAAGAGCCGGATCCCTATGCCCTTGGTTAGGGACCTAAATAAATTACCTGATTTTAAAACTGGATGAGTTCCAACCCATTCCCACTGAAGTATCTACTTAGGAGTCTAACCTTAGGCACTCATTATTTTAAAGTACCAGGCATTTCTCTTTTGAAACCTTCCAAACTTTAAATAACATTTCACCTCTCAGATGTGGAGGATTGCTAGCTGCAAAATTTATCAGCTGTCTCCGGCGCACTAAGAATTGTACATCTACTCTAATAAACTGTCCTCAAAAAGCAGGTGGTTGGTGTCAAACACCTCTTAATACTGGCATAAACAATTAAAGAGAAACAGTGAGTCAAGATCCTGTGGCTGCAGACAACTTCTTTTAAATGTCAAATTATCTTTTATTTTCATCAAAGAATACAGTAGACATAGTGGCTATTCTTTGTATTCTCCTTCTCCAGGTTTTGAAAGAGAACTTGGTTATTGCTGAAGCAGGGGAGATCCCTGGTTAGCAAACTTCTGTAGGAGTTTTTGTCATGGTTCACAGTGCAGTTTTTCTGAAAAGTTTCAAGGTATTTCTTCACCATTGACTGTAGTGGCACATTTACAGGTACAAGCTGAAATGATGGGGATAGTCTGAAACCCATGCAAGTGTGTCCACACAGACTTTTGCACAGTTTAAACTACATCAGTTTTTAAATCCAGTTTAGTATAAACTAGGATAATTTAGATTAATAGACAAGACCTTCCAATACAAAACTGTAGAAAATCTATTGATTAATGTTCATTTTTATAAAAGACCCCTGTATTTTCAATCGTATCAATACCAGAAAATTTCCCATTACCAATTCCTTTAAGGCCCTCCATGTTGCAATGGGAAGGCCACTCACCCTCAAAAGCTCTGGGGAAGCTCCTCAGGGAATGGTTCTTTCATTCTCTATGTAAGGCATGGTGTTTTCACTAAAGATGCCTTTCATGAGCCCCGGCAAAAATCTGTCACACTTTAGTACAGGCACTGAAATAAGTGGCTTAGTTTTCAGAGGTGCTGAGCACCTACAACTCCTGATGAAGCAAATGAAAATTATGTGCATTCTATGCACCCTATTCTGAAGTTTAACAGGATGACACTAAATTCACTACTGTATTTCTCTTAGAAGTCAAGCACTGCTTTTGTTCTCTTTTGGACTAAGTACAGACAGTCAAAAAGCTCAAGACTGAATGAATTCCATCTTTGCAGGTTAGTCTACGCTGCACAGACTGAACTGATAAGCAAGTAAACAGACATTCACTTTCAATTCCAGAAAAGCAGCCACACACCTGCAGTGGCCCAGGCCAAAAGCTGGGGGGCACTAGAGCACACCTCCCTTCTTGGCTGAAGCAGACAGCTTGGGCCAAGGTTAGGTCACCCACCCTTAAGGGGGAGGTGCAAAACATCCTGGGATGCTGGAGGGCTGCGAGGTAACTTGAATCTGAAGGGATCTGGGACAGAAGTTCAATAAACTGACTTAACCTAAATCAGTTCAGTCTGATACTATATCCATTCAGCTTTATCTTAAACTGTTTTCAGCCATTTTGATAGTAGTTTATATGCACTGAGCTTCTGTTGTGTTACAGATTTGAACCAGTTTCTGATCACTTATACCAGTTTATGTGTACTTTCTGTCCCTAACCTTGAAGTTTCAGAAACTGAGGAATTCCAAGTTTCTGTTCTATAAAGTATGAAACAGGATCAAGATCTATAACAAGCTGCTGAATGATTATGTAGATTTATGAGAACACAATTCCATGCCAGAGACTGCTGCTGGCTGAAATCCAGACAGTGTTCTTAATGACTAATGTTTAAATTGGCATATTTACGGTAGCAACACTACAGTGTATGGAAATTCAGCCTTCCTACTGGCATACCTGCTTAGTGGTCTACATATTAAATAGGATACTGAACGTTAATTATTCCCTCGAAAGACTGGATTTCTTTTTGGTTTTATTTTAAGGGTGTCAGGTCATGAGATGCCAACTCAGTTGCAAGTGAGAGTTTAGTATAGAGAGTGTGTAAATCTAGGATAACAAGCTATTTCAAATGATAAAGGTTCCTCCTAAGGAGGACATTCTTAGCAGGCAGTAAGTGTAAGGTACATCACTGTAAGGAGGAATAAGTTGGTGGACACTAGGTGTGACCAACCATATGGAGAGTTAGAGTAGAGTAGCTAGCACAAGGTAAGTTCACATCCCTACTTACTGCCAACTACCTTCGGCTTCCATATGTGCCCTAACATGCAAGTTTGTATGTGCTTGTAGGCAGAAAGTCAGCCTCTGTAGCATTGCTTTCCAATGCCTAACCTGCTTCAGAACTAGGAGCACTAAACAGATGATGGTCCGTGGAACTTTGGTGCAAGACTGAGGGACAAGCAGGGGATTGGCTTGTGAAAGCTGATGGATAAATATATTCCCTTCATGCGCTCTTCCTGGCTGCAGTTCTTGCACTGCGCAACCAAGGAGAGCTGGAGGCAACGTAGCAGGCTGTGCTGGTTTTTGCTTGTTGCAAACTCTATTTCTCTCTTGAAAAAATGCATGGCAAGAGACTGTAGAAGGGTAACTCCATGAGGTATTCCTGCTCTGTGGGAGAAAGCAATATGGACCGATATTGACAAAAGTGTCAACTTTTACCCATTTTATGTGTAACTAGGGGAGATGTCAAATCTGTTGATAATTTTCCTAAGCATATTTGTGAGAGAAATGCCATACAACTAGACCGGTAATTCTCAGTCTTTCAGTCCTGTGGGCCAGATGAGGACTGCAGACTCCATAGACTAGTTTCCACAGAAAGGGCCAGTGTGTGGTCCTGATCCTGTATGAAGTCAGTCTGTGGGGTTGGTTCATGAGTGCAATCTAGTGCACCAGCCCAGCATCATGCACCTGATCTGGAGTGACTCTGCTTGCCAGTGCAATCTGGTGCATGAAGTCATGCCATCCAGTTTGCAGGGGGGTCTCCCTACAGGTTTGGAAATTTATGGTGAAGGAATGGTGGCAGTGTTATGGTGGAGGAATGGTAGTGCTCAACCTCTAGCCTGCAGGCTGGATTTGGCCTGCAGGCTAGAGGTTGAGCCCCAGTGAACCAAACATTAAGGAAAAGTAAAAGCAGCTGCTTACGACACAGACTGTTGGCTCCACAAGTGCCTGTTTGATGTCTAGCAACAGGCAACCCCAAACTTTGCACTATATGGTGAAAGCAAATATTATTCTAACAGTGTCTGCCAGTGAAAGAATAATTCGGTCAAAACTGCCTCTTCCAATTCAAATGTACCCATTACCTTATTTACACTGCCCTGAAGCATTTGTTTTATGTTACTAACAAATGTTTTATAACTTGGCTTCTCCCTATGGACAAACTCATTGCTGATCGCTTGTAGTTTGGATCTGAGTCCTTAGTGACAAGTGGCTTTTGAAGTGAGCTGAAGGTACTCAACTCTTCACAGGATAGGGCCCTCTAGGTAAAGTTACTGCTTCCTTAAAGAGTTTCAGTTATTTTACAAAGAAGGGATAAAAAAATAAAAGAAAAAAATGCGGCCTTACTTCCTGTGTTGATTTATTATACACATATAATTGACAAGCTATCTGGCTTTATAAACACTGTGCAAACATTACCTGAGCTCTCTCTCATCATGCTTACCTCCGAACAGGAATTTTACCGCTTGTGTTTGTCAGAAATGCCAGCTTCATCCAGCTGAAATTTAGAATGAAATTATTTTTAAGTTTTATTTATATAATTAAAAGCAGGTATTTAAATTGATGGTGCTTATCATCTTTGATAATGAGTACAAACACCAAGAGAGATCCTAACTCTTTACTTTTTAATACTGAAACGTAAGAAGTTATGTCATAGCAGATGGCTTGTGCCTTTTACCAACCACACACAGTACAGGGACCAGGTGGAATTCCAGTTCCTGTACTCAGGGAAACACAAGAACAGTTACCTTGGCATGCACAGAAAAACTGAGCAGGGACCAGGCTCACTACCCTGCCCACTGGCTTCCCAGGGGTTGGGGAATATTGCACCTCATAAATGGTGAGAGACAGCAGAGTGCTGACTTCCCCAATGCTCTGGGGTAGTGGTTTTCAAACTGTAGTCTGCCACTAAGGGTTCTGCAATAGACCACAAAGAGACTGAGGATAATGATGGAGTGGGCTGGAGGCAGTGTGCCACCACTGCTGGGCCAGGTTGCCTGACTCTGCATCAGTCCTTAGGAGGGGGTGAGGGCTCCATGGAAGAAGTAGTGATATTAAAGAGTCGCATGACTTTAGGAAGTTTGAGAAACACTGCCCTAGGGAACTTCGAAGGACACTGTCTCCATCTTCAGTAGGGGCGCACTGATAAAGATTTTCTGGGCTAATATCAAAAGCCAATTATTAACCATTCATATTGGCTGATACCAATCCAATAACCGATTTACAGGAATGCAGCCAGGCAGTGTGGACAGCAGCTCCTGCAAGTAAGTCTATGGAGGAGAAGGAGAGTGGTGGAGGGGAGGGAAGATGGTAGACAGATTGAGGTC